TCTAATTCATTGTTTATTTCACTTTATTAAATTGAATAAGATTTCTTTTCAATTAATTTTGTCAGATTTTAAACTTAGTTGAATGTTATCATCATCATTATTATCATTATCCCTTTTCGTCTATACAACCGATTGTCTTTTTTACAGTTCCATCTCTCCCCTCAGCCCTTCGATAAACTGTTAATAGAAACATTTTATTTACACATACTTGAGTGATTTTGAAACATCACATTTGAAAAAACCATCAGAAACTCACTTTCAGGGACATTCATGAAAAATTCGAAATTTTCAACAATAATCATAAAAATCAAATCAACTAATATAAACAAACATTTGAAGCTATGACTGAATTCTTTTGAAGCACAACATCCAAAGATATCCCTGGAATTCAGATTTTCAAAAAATACAGAATTTTTGAAAATTGTCAAATAAATCCAAATAACGATCATTGCTATCGCCTGCATCTTCGAACTCGATCAAGAGGACATCCAAACAAATTTTTCAAGCCATCACTCAATCAATTCAGAAATTTTTTTTTTGTTATCGTAAAAAAAAACAATTTTTGAAAAATACAAAAAAAAATTTAAACAGTGCGCCAAAGTTAAGCTCAATTAGAAAATTTTTAGATTTTTATCTATTTAATTTCACAGTATTTATGTTGATTTTTATAAAAATTAATCACCAAAAATTCAAGTTGTCGCATACAGACATGACCCTAAAAACATCATTGTTTCATTTCATCAATTGTGTCATTTCATCAATGAAAATTAGAAAATCGAAGAATCGGTCAAATACAAGGCTTCCATTAGGAAGCAAAAAATAGAAGTTTAAAAAGTGAATAAATAATAATCATAATATTGAAATATTAATTTTACTCGAAAGTCATTAAAGTCAGTTTAAAATTAGAGAAAAAACATTGGAATTTTTGAAGGAAATACTCGTGTGATCATTTATGACAAATTGAGTACTGATCAGCATACCTCCCATCATGATCGTTACATTGTGGCATCAATGATGAAAGACTTCAGTCACTTGAGGGCAGAGAATTTGCACCGAAATCCACACGCGAGTATTGCAATGCTGTGAATGACCCATTACGCTCAATTTCATATTCGAAAAATCCATTTTTATGATAATGAAATTCACTTCTTTGCATAACTTGTGAGAAATTCTGGGAAATTCTTTGCGCTATCCAGAGATACCCGAAAACCTCAAATAGTCGGGAGTTAGACAAAGATCCAGAGCCTTATTTTTTTATTGAATCAATGCGAGATCATTAACAAGGGATTCTTTTATCATCTGTAGATCAGGGTTAATCAGATCACGTGGGGTTGATTTCCGTTAATTTTATGTAATCGATAATTTTTTGCTATTGCAGGCAAAAATTGACCACGTTAAAAACTTCAATGCAACGATCGCTGCAGTTACGTGCCAACGATGTCTACACAATGATTTTTTGAGCGGTATCATTGCAAGTATAATTTTTTTGTTGGTTATTTTCCCCAATCGGATTTTGACCAATCAGAGCGCAGTATTTGAGGCTACCCGACAGTTTTATTTCGGATATTTCCTCCTAGCTTTTGAATATTTCGCTGTAGTTCATCATTTTTTTACCTGAATATTTCGCAGTACCTCTTCATTTTTTCGGCTCATTTCAGATAGAATCTTATATTTGACAGTTTATGGAAATCGGGTTATTCTATTAACATGATTTGTTCAAATCTTTCCCGATTCACCTCCTGATGTTGTCCACTGCACTCTGCTTGGCCAAAATCCGATTTGGAAAAATAATCCGACAAATACCCCTCGAGATTCAAAATTAATCGTGTATTTCCCCCAAGCTCCCCTTCAAACAAACCATCGTGCGAAGTTTTGCAGAAAAATCCCTCGCGCAAGCGCTCGAGATTTTTTAACCTGGAAAACTTGACACCCTCATTTATTTGCAATGAAGCTATCGGGAGATACCTAATAATTTTGAAGCTCTTGGGGTATTACTACTCAAAATCTCGCTGTTCCGACCTGCGGGAGAAGATTTTGTTTTTTATTTTCAATCCTGATATACTTCACATAAGCCAAAGAACATTAACACGAGTAACTATTATTCACATGGTGAGAAATATGTGTTTACTGCCCATTAATATTTAAGCACACGTTCAACTACAATTTTCAAGAGTCCACCCCTCCCCGCATCAAACGCGCGAAACGTATCGATGTGAGTAGAATAGGGAATGCGTGTAAATTAGTGAGCGCCATAAGAAATGCATGTTCTAACACTCACATACAAAAATACACAGAAGAAGAAAAATGTCCAATTTCGTAATGACTTGAACTAATTTATTAATCGCACACACTTCAACCCCGCCATAGCATTTGCCGGACACAAGGGGCTGGTCAGTCCTCAATGGGATGGCTCAGTGACTTCCACTTTGAAATTTCATGCAAGATATTATAGTAAATCTGATGAGAGTGACATTGAATCAGATTTAGGGAAAAAGTGGTAATGAAATTTCAAGGTCTAAGTAGAATTCACGAAAATTCATGAGTTTTCAGTGAGAGTGTAATAAAAATTTTACAACTTGATTGAACTTCCAGTGGAATATGAATATCCAGAAACAAAATGACATGAATTTTCAATTTTTCCCAGAATTTTCCTGATTTTTCTGAATTTTTACAGAATAATTCAACAGAAAAATCAAGTATTTTATTGATTTCCAGATCTTTTATTGATTTCCAAGTGAAGTATTTCATTGATTTCCAGATAAATTGACTCAGAGTCATCGCGAGAGAAGTCGATATTGGGTATTTTGAGACTGAGACGAGACCAAAAATTTCCGCGTTCACTGAACCGAAACAATCCTTTCAAAGTATTGTCTCGTGATGACTCGTAAAGTCTCTCGCGGCATCACTATTCCATGATTTCTGTGAGTTCTCAACAAGAAATGGAAATCATGATTTCTTTCGATTTCTCATGATTTGCATGATTTCTGATGATTTCTGAATTAAAAAAAAATCACTTGAAAAACCATGATTTCCGGGCCAAAGTGGGGCATCAGCCGATAATGGCAGGTTTATACATGACGATCTGATACGTAAAGAAGTCAATCCCGCACTGAGAGAAAAACGACAAAGTTCCCATACATGTCTTACTTGTGCCAAACATGCAGAGAGTACGCCGGAATGAAAAATTTTTATCGCAAAATAGATTTAGTAGTTCAAAAAAAATTGCATCCTCTGTACATGCAAGAAATGTTATTTCTAGTTAATGTCACTACTCCTTCGTTATTCAATACTCCCATACGTATTTTGCTCCCGAAAAATCTTTGTTTTATGCGAAACAAGGAATAGTATTTTTTCGTTTCGGCTATCTAATAATCACAGATAAGAACTGAACCCTTAAATGAAACAGTAATAATTATATGATAGCAATTTTGTAACTTAGGTATAAAATATTTGTTGATAAATTTTCCTCTATATGAGATATTTTCATGCTGAAAAGGCACCGCCTGGTGTGAATTATCCTCCTCTTGAGCCAAATATTTCGTTGCTGTCGAAAGCAGAACAATTATTCATGTTTGAGACTTTCGAATTCGAACCAAACAAATTTTTTTTTGGCCATTTTCAACTAGCGATTTTGTTGGCCCAAACAAGACTTGTTTGACAACGTGTTTGTTTCTCTCTCAGTGTGGTGAAAAAACATAAAACGTTAGATTTCATCATAAACCGTGAAATCTCGCGACGGTCATACGCCACGAGGATTGTATTTATCAACCATTAATGGACCACAAATAATGAATTTTGGAATGAAAAAGTAAAAAAGTGAGAAATTGGAAAAATTGAAAAAAAAATTTAAAACGAAATTTGCAAAAAATCATTTTTGGATAGAACGGATCCGAGTCCCAGTCTTATTTTTCAATGTGTTCCGTAAAAAAAGTCACTTTCGGTAAGGAAAGAAAACAATCTTCAATCGAGGTAGGGGAAGGGGGTACCACGCTCAACTTCCTACTTTCTTGGCGATTTTAAAGCATTTCCGATTATGTGATGTAATTGGCACCATGCTCAATCGAAAGAACGAAAAATTTCCGTCGAAAATACTTATTAAAAACCCGAAAAAAATTTACCTGTGCTGAAATGCAAACTTTTGTCAAAAATCCACTAAACTCAATAATTGAGGTTGTGTGCGTAATGAAACTTGAAAAGAAAATGGAAAACAAAATTTAGGCCTTTTGAATGATAAGAAAACCATGTACGAAGCCTCAACAAAATTGAATTTTTGAAGGTACAAAACCATATTAATAATTAGTGAAAACACCCATTTAACACTCTATTTTAGGATATTGTAATTTAGTAGAATTCAAGATGTACATGATGTAATTCGAATGTGAAATAGTATATTTCAGCACGTGTGGGGCAATTTCGTCTTTAACGTGTGTGGGGTTTACAGCATGAGCCGAAGGCGAGTGATGTAACCACACACGTTAAGGACGAAATTTCCCAACAAGTATTGAACAAAATTTTATGTCACGAGGCCTGAAACCGGCTGAATTAGTGTGTAATCCAGCCGGTTTCAGGCATGAGTGGCATAAATGACAATTTCTGTACACAGTGTCAATGCAAAACATTGCATATATGAAAAATGAAGGGAATCCATTGTGTGAAGTACGTTATTTTTTCACATCCTTGCACGGAAAGTTCATACTTTCCTTCCTGATGAGCGGGAGGAAAGTGAGCAGTTTCCACCCGAGGGTGGAAACTGTCCTTCCGCTCATCAAAGAGCAAAATACGAACTTTCCTTTGCAGGCATGTTAAAAAATCACATGTGCACCTCGGGCGGAAAGTCTTGACTTTCCGCCCTTGATGCACAATATACTATTTTGAGAAAATGCTGGATCAATGTTACAGTATGCCTAGAAAAATCTTCATAATTTTTCATTTCGCGCCAACTTTACCGCATGCGCAAGAACAGCCATTGCACTAAAGTAGAAATCTACTGTATCAAAAATTCCAAAGACTTCGAGAGCTCGGAATTCAGATGTTTCAGTCTCGGTTTTACTAAATCAGAAAATATAAATAATTAAATTAAAAATCCCTTGACAACTGTCAGCTTTCAAATTGTTTGATCCACAAATTATTCGAGCGTGTGACGACAATGACATTTTAAACTATTCTTCACGCGTTATATTCGATATTAAAAAATTACATCATCCGTTCTGGTGAGTCGATTGTCCACTCTATGATTTGTAACTCGTCAAGTGTTCTATTTTCATCCCAGTCAACTCTTTCCTTTCATCTCTGACCCATGAATTATTTTTTCTACATTTCTGTCATTTCTAATTCTCAAAAATTCATAATTAATTAACTATCTTTGTTTGAAAGTCCATTTTCCTGCGACATAACCTCAAAAAAGTATTTTTCATCTTCAATTTTGGTAAACTCACACATAATGATAACAGAAAACAATGAAACAAAATTCATTATCCATTATCCAGAATTTGACTGACAACAAATAAGAAATAAAGAAAATGGGAAACACATTGACATCAGCAACAGTGTTAGCAGTGGATTCAATTGCTCAAGTACCTCAATCAAACACTGGCAAGTCTTCTCATCCTCATATTCACAAGACATTTGAGGGTACACCTCCTCCGGAATGTCCAATGCATCAGAAGGCTGCAGAGCAGCCCCAGAAATTCGTTAGTGAGTGTCCAATAGATCACATGGACCCCAACGAAATCAATCCTTTGAATATGGTATGTAGATAAATCCACTTTTCATTCACTTTTAAAAAATAGAGGCGCCACATTTTTGGCACCTCTATCTCACTCATCTAGCAACGTGATGCAATGCTGTATCATTCTATAATAGAATCTATATATGCAGTATCTCTCTATATTATGAAGATCCAAATGGACTTATGGTGATAAAAATTTGGTACTTGAAATTAAAACTTTAAAATAAAGGGTTACAAGGGTCAAAATAAGGGTCACGAATGGTTATTATGAAGGTCAGATTAAAGATCCAAATAAGGGTCACAAGGGTCAGAATATCTTTCTATATTATATAAATCCAAATTGACTTCTGGTGACGAAAATTTGGTACTCGAAATGAAGACGCCAAAAATAAGGGGCGAAATAAGAGTCACAAGGATAAGTATAAAGGTCGTGGGGGCCATATGGAGCAAAACGGACAGTTGTTTTTTTAATTTTCTTTCTTGTTCGTAAGTCAGAAAAAAATTCATCAATTTAGCTCAGTCCAGACTCATTGCTAAGATGAAGAGTTACACTTTTCGTAAAAAAGAAAAATCCCATTTGATTGAAAATTAAATGAGACATTGATATTCTAAAAAAAGTAAAACGTAATTTTTTTAACACACTAAAAGTCTAATTGTGGAAAAAAACGTTTGAGAAAATAGTACAGTTCTTTTAAAAATGAATAAGGGTCTCATCATGCCTATTCTCACTTTGTTCCTATTCATTTTCAATATAATAAAAAAAACCGTTTTCACGTACGGCAATCCCTATGGCAATTGGCATGGCGTCATGTCTGCCATGGAGCATAGTAGGATTTTTCAAATATGAAGAATTGTTGTAAAAAAACCACAATATCATCTAGCAATGGTTGAAACTCGATGGTCTCTCTAAAAAATTCCTGGATTTTTTTCCAATTAATAGAAAGGTCAATTTATTATTGAATGATGATTACAGATGCCTGCGGGCAATCAAAATCCCGCCCCAGACCAACCTTTCAAGCTACCAACAGACCGTCAAGTGTCTTCGATTCCCAAGGCTACTGGGGAGGACGAGTTCTGGGTTTATCCGTCCCAGCAGATGTTCTGGAATGCAATGTTGAGGAAGGGATGGCGGTGGAGGGATGAAGACGTCAAGCCCAAGGACATGGAGGATATTATTAAGATTCATAATGCTAACAACGAACAGGCCTGGCAGGAGGTCCTAAAGTGGGAGGCTCTTCATGCCAGGGAGTGTGGAGAACCAAAGTTGAAGAGCTTTGGGGGCAAAGCCAAGGACTTCTCACCTCGTGCCAGGATTCGTCATTGGATGGGGTGAGTTTTATAGTCATTACAACAACAAATTTATGAACTATCCTTGAACAATTCAGCTGTGAAGTTATGCTGGACTAGAATATCAATGTAAAACATATTGTTATGAACATCTATTTTTCACTTTAGACTGAGTTCGAATCCCACTTCTGACACGAATTAAAACACCCATGGGGATTAAAAAGACATTTATTAAAATAAATAGGAACGATAGAAGATTAAGTATGTAAATACAAATAAAACGAGAGAAAAGAAAGATGATGAAAGCAAAAACAACGCTAACTTCTCGGCTGATGGAAAAGAAACGAATGCGTACCTGATGGAATGCATTCTAAAGGGGGAAATAGATATAATAATATTTATTCAAAGATTATTCTGTGAGGATCATCATGGGAAGGAAAAGCTCTAGAACATTTTATTCAGACACATTTTGTCATTGATTAAATCACTCATGTCTAAGATACCTGTATAAATACCAACTTTGTGTTTGAAATTAGTAATTTGGAGTTTGATGAATATCTTTAAACAGAAGTGATTAACAGGAGTTTAATAACCTTTTTTCGTTGAAATTTCAAATGTTGAAAAAAATATCTCTTGACATTATGTCGTCAAATACAAGGTATTGAATATTGTACGAACAAGATCCGGTAATAACTTAAATGATTAGACAGATTTATCATTTATTCTGTTTGTATAACTACTTGTAATTTCTTTTTACCTATCGTCATTAAATTTTTAATTTTTGGATTCATGTATAACAAATATATAAATAAATAAATAAAATATGGGATCGTTGTACAAGGTCTCATTAAATTTACGAACATCAAATTGGTTTTCCACGAGAGCAAAATTTGAATTCCATTGCATTAAGCATTTGTTCTATAATAATATTATAAAACAAATATGTAAATTAGTTAATTAGATTACGGGTTCCAACACCAGTCGAGGAGAGAAAAAACTTTAATTTCCTGGAGAAATAATCAAAAACTAATTTAAAAAACCTGTAAAAAATTGTTAATGAAATCCTTTCCTTCCAGATATGAATTACCTTTTGATCGTCACGACTGGATCGTCGACAGATGCGGAAAGGACGTGAGATACGTCATTGACTATTATGACGGTGGAGCTGTGGACGCTAAATATAAATTTGCACTGTTAGACGTGAGACCTGCAATGGATTCATTCGATAATATTTGGGATAGGATGAAGGTCGCCTACTGGAGATGGAGATTCAGTGCTGAGATCCAACAGGAGCAGGAGAAAGCTTCTTAATTCTGTTCAAGCAAACAGTTGGATGTTGCATGAAGTTTTTTTTAATGATTATGATAACGAAATACGAAAATGGAATGGAAGATGCTAGACAGGAATTTCTACATTTTTAAGAATAATGAAATATGAAAAGGCTATAGCTGATCAGACAAATTCATTACGTTAACTTATTATTTGTTCATTATTCATAAAAATAGAAAAATTTGTGTCAAATATTATTCATTAAATTTTTATCCTCAAAAAAGAAAAAAAAAATCATGCAAAACCCAAAATCTCTCAAGACTAGTTCATTTGTTTTTTCTCGAGTTACTTTGGCTCTCGTTACTGTAATTTATCTGTTAAAAAATGTAAAAATACTGTCGAAATGTTCTAAAATGAATTGGAGATGAGAAATTTGTAAGAGCAAAGATGGTGACTTCGTTAAAAATGATTAAAATGTGACGAAAATACTTGAATGAAAAAATAAGACGAATTGAAAAATATTAAAATAGAAATGTTCATCAACTTGACAATTATTATTAGCCAATACACAGTATTTATTGATAATAAACAATTTGAAATTCGTGAACAACTAATAGTTAAATCTGTTACTTAACCATAAACAATCATCTTTATTTCGTCCATAAACTTTTTCCTTCGAGGTATTTATTGGTGGATCACTTCCTTTTATGTATAATTACACAAAATATAAATGAAGTTCATTTGAAAAAAAAAATCCCATCACACTCGATAACATCTCCATGCATAACATTCTCCATGTATCTCCATCGTCTCCTTTATCACTGGAGTTCATCGTGTGATTCAATTCTTAAATGCATCGACATGATCGTAAAATCAAATTCAACTCTTATCTGAGTTTAAAAATAGTTGTATTAGCTATTCGTTGACGGATTTTCCCCACTGTTGTGTGGTACATCAGATTCATATTATTTACATCTCGTCTGGAGGGTTGTAAATATTCAAGACTTGTGCAAAAATGATTTGCCCCATTCTTAAAATAAACAAAACAATAGAATAGGTCAAATATTTTTGGGATGCAAAAGACATTTGCAGATTAGTATAGCAATGTCCTCGAAAGGGAATGAAAGCAACCTTTTTTTAGATTTTGCTCTGAATCTGGTAGTTTCGAAGATATTGCTAAAAAAATCTGTAAAAAAATTTTGGGCACATTTCTCTTATCTTTCATTAATCACTGAATTATCACGATGATGAGTGGTGCTAGGAGAAATAATTCGGAAATATTGTTAGGGAAATTTCCCCTCGCGTTTACTCCAAGATCTCTTATTACCAATATAATTGTAGAATTAATGAAAATTTCGTGTTTCAAATTAACAATTCAGTATTTTGAGAAATTTATTTAGAGAACTTTTTTTACAGTCAATTGTATGAGCCCCAGAAAATGTTTTATGATCTTTTTCTCTATATAGATTAGTCCCATAGATGTCCCCTAATAATAATCTGTAAAAAAGAAGACTCTCCCTCACTTTCCAATCACTAAATGTGCATGTCTACATGAAAACAGGCAATATGGAAACTTGCGCAGAAACGAATTTATCAATTGAACTCAGCCTACACTCATCATAAACGGGAAGAATTGTCTGTTTCATGGAAAAAATTATCCCATTTTATTAATAATTCAATGAGTTATCAATGTTTGAAAGGAAATCATCTAAAGTAACACCAAAGATACCAGAAGTAATTAAACATTGCTTTAAATAGAAGTCGTCGCAAATTGGTGGACAAATTATCTCAATAGTGAGTGGTGCTAGGAGAAATTAATATAAGGCCCCAAAGAAAATCTCTATACAGTGAGAAAAAAAGATATTTTTGTCAAACATCCATTTACTTGAGAGAAGTATTTATTTTTTCAATACCGTATTTCTCCAATCGAGTCATTCCCAAGCAATCATCATTCGGTTTCAATTATGACAATTATGTGGGTCTAGAAGATGATCATGTCAGTTACGACCTTGAGTGAACTCCCTCAATAATTATCAACATTAAAAAATTAATCGAAATTCATCCCTCTAGAAAATAAGAAATTTGGGAAAAATGAATAATCATTGGAGGATTTCATCCAAGGTCATGTGCAACATAGTCATCCTCTAGAGCAACATGATTGTGATAATTGAAACCCAATCAGACTCATCTGGAAATGACTCTCAAATAAATGAATATTTCGCAAAAATAATTTTCTTTCACAGCCTAGACATTCTGTCTTGAAATTTCTCTCTCCTAAGATGATTCAATAATTAACAAAAATTTCCCACTTGAAACTGCTAATTCAATATTCCTCGACTAATTTATACCGAAAAAGTTCAAAAAAATTCATCCAGATAATTTTTCTCGTACCTTATCCTCCGCTCTCTCGATAACTTTCTCAAAATCCTTTCCTCCCAACATTATATTATTCATGCAAAAAACCTAAAACTTTGTTCTCTCATTCAAAATCAAATGAAAACACTATCTTTAAATGGGATGATGTGGTAAAAATCCACTGCAGCCACTAAATCCGCACAAACAGACAGTCTCACTCAAATTCCCCTCAATTCCACCGCCATAATCAAAGGTAATCTCCTCACCCCCTTCAATATGTCGACTCGCAAATAAGCACAAACGTGGAACCAGTCCCTCCACCCTCACAGGCACAAGATTAGCACTTGGCTGACAGCTGTGATTGGAATACCTTCCAATGTTTCCAAACACCTTTGGATCAATGCAAGTTGTCATCTTCGTATCGCCAACGTGCTCAGACACTACAAGAATATAATTCATTTCCTTTTTGATTCTATTCTCCTCGATTCTCCTCTTGGCCTCGTCAATTCCAATCACCTCGCCTGCATATTCGCAGATAAATTGATTTATCGAAACAAATTTATTGGTTTTCAGTCCAAAACCTTTCGCAGGGGTTTGGAAGGGCTCCAGACAGTCCAGGGGACCCCTCTGTACCAATCTGTTTTTGCAGGTCTGGGGACAGGAACATGCTGGATTGCACTCTAAAATTAAACCTGATTTTTTTTCAGGATTTAATCGATCGTTTATGTAATTGACAGTTCCTCTCACACATGAGCAAGACTCTTCGCATATCTCTGTACACGAACATCCAACAGTAAATTCAGATTCAAAGTCCTCTGCATTAACCCCCACCCCTGGAATATTCGTTGTGATGTACATTACGGAGGGAATTGGGTGGTCGTAATTGTCGAAATCTCCACTTGCAGTTTCCATGGTTTTATCTTCGATTTTTAGTGATGAATGTTCGTCCTCTTGAGGGATTAATTTGACAGATTGAGGAGCGAAGACTGAAGATACTTGGGCGACAGAGCAGCACAAGAATAATTGAACAGAAATTGGTTTTCTCGTTGATTGAAAATAAATGGTGAGTGTGAGTGCGTTGATTTTGTTGTATTTCTGTTTTTTGAGGGTTTTTTCTTTTGGGTTTTTGGGAAAAGTTTTGTTCAGTTGGTTGACTATCGATTTGCACTGACCTTCAAAAGCCCCTCGACCGATGACTTTAGGGATTGCAGGGTGGTTGCTGATGGCAGTGGTATGTACTTGTAGCCTACGTATATCACAGCACCCAGGAGGGATACTTTTAGGGATATTCGGAGGATTTTGCTGGAGAGAGAACGTTCTGGTGTTCTGAAACAATGGGAACATTGAGAATAAAATATTGTACTAATTTTAGATGAATTATCAAATAATTTCGTGGAGACTATTTTCGTCATATGTGTAAAACTAAGAGGTTCCGAGAAAAATATCAAAAGTACTTTTTTGTTATCCATTCAAGTTTTAAAAAAAGGGACTTTCGCTCATTTTTTCTGATGTTATCAATTCAAAAGAAATATAATTCAACAATTGATAATTTCATCGTGAAGGTCTATATTTAACAAATATCTGGTGAACTAGAACACAGACAAAAAAGTTTCTAGGTTCCAACAAAGATCTCTGAATATCAGAACTTAGTATGCTACTGAAATGTGACGAAAAAAATTCTGGAAATATGTGAAATTTTCATTGATTTTGGAAAATTTTTCCGAAGAATCAGAGAAAACATTCTAATGCTCAGTAATTTTCTGTTGAATCTAGGATAATTATGCTTAAATTGAGGCACATGGTCTTTTTTTAAATCAAAATTTTGTTTCTGCAATTCAGGACTTTTGGGTTAATAAAATACGAATACGGTATTCTTGCATCAAAAACAATCGCGTTACTCGAGAAAACCACCCTCTCGTCTTTTAATTGATGGTTTTTGCTGTTCCGAAATTAATGTACTAACTTTTAGATGAATTTAACAAAAAAAGACAGGAACATGCTCGATAAAAAAGGTTTATAAACCTTTTAAGGTGGAAGCGATGCCTCCACCGCGTATTTTTAGACATTTTTTAAAATTATTTATCCTCTTCAGATTATCCTCAACTCTGTTCATCTTGTTTCTACAAAAAGAACAAATTTTTCAAGCCATTTTTCAGATTTTTCCATCCTTTTTTGGCTCAGAATTCATGGTGCAAAGTTTTCCTTACATTTCAGTCATTTTTTCTTACTCCCGAGGTCTCTTAATGTTCAATTCTTCCAGAACTTTATTCCTTTAAATGTTTTTTAATTCAAGAATGCAACGGTTTTTTATTTAAGAACTGATCTTACTTAAAATAAGTAAGTAGTAGATTTCTGATGCTAAATTTTAGAAATTTCCCTTCTGAAATGAAGTGACCACGACTTTCTTGAAAGTAGCACAATGAGTTTGAAAACTAGAAACTTTTCTTTTCTGCGTAAATTTGCAAAGAAAAAATACAGAAGAAATTTTATGTAGCCCATGAAATCAGCCACAAAAAAAAATTAATTTTTCTCAGCCTGTTCGTCTTCAAGATATTCATATCTAATTTCCGTTCTCACAAATGAAATTGTTGCCAATTATGCAATCTTCTCTATAGAAATCAGTGGCTCCACCGCCATATATCAATTAATATTTGTCACTAAATTTCTCATCAAAGTTATTTACAAAAAATGTATCTTAATAAATTTTTCAAAACATCTTTCTTTTCAAGATTTCTACAGAATAATCTGAGAATTCATTCTATAATTCTCACTTCGCATTTAGATTGGGATGACTAAAAATCTACTCACCTCATAATCGGAATAATATCAGAAGGTTTAATTGTCCCCCAATGCTCGACGATCCCTGGCATGTGTCCAATTCCAACAATGCCAACAACTCTGGAAGGTATCAATCCATGAGGCGTTGGAATTGGTAGAGCAGCCAATTGCAGTGAATGTGTGAGATACAAGTCTCGTTCCTTCACAAACACTTCGCGTATCGATGGATACTCTGTTCCCATTTCTGTGAGTAACTCCGCGAGAAGATCCTTGCGTTTACAACGTTCCACGTCCTCTTTACTTATTGGATCTTTCGTTTGGAGGAGACTCCAGAAGAGTTTTATTGTTTGCCACCAGGAGAGGGAACTGAGAGCTCGTTGGATCGTGATGTTTATGGGCCTATCGCCAAGGTGGACCAGACATCTTTGAACTTTCTTGGCCTGGAAGAATGTCATTAAATGAGGAAGAAAGTCTAATGTTGTAGGCAATTTTGAAACTTTTTGGCACAAATAAGGTGTTAAACACATAAGAGTGGGTGGAAGTATTTTTCGAATTGGTTTGTCTGAATGCTCGTTATAGTTCTGGGCCATTTTTCGGTCAGTTGTATGAATAAATACAAAAACAAGTGGGAAATTGCTCTTGTATTGCATATAGTATAGTTATTTTTGCTAATAAATTAGCAATATGTTTCCAAATGGTTCTTTTGCACATAATTTCCTTCTATCATATATAATTCATTGTTCATTTTATTTTATTAAATTAAATCAGATTGCTTTTTAACTAATTTTATCAGATTTTCAACTTCATCATTATTCTTATTATTCCTTTTCTGATCCTTAATCTGACCCGCACGACCCTTATTTTAACCCTTCATTTCTGAGCCTTAATTTTGAAGTCTTAATTTCGAGTACCAAATTGTTATCACCAGAAGTCGATTTGTATTTTGATAATATAGAGAAAGAAAGAGAGAGAGAGGAAATGAGAAAAAGATCAATTATTACAGACGATTTGAAAAATTTTTTGAACACAAAAGATATTAAGCACATAAGAGTGAATTGATGAGTTTTTCAAATTAGTTTTTCCGAAGACTTATAAAGAGAGAAACTTAAGAGTCATTCATCAAAAGATCTTTTTTCTGGGAAGTTTATCAAGTGACAAAAATCGTTCGTTTCTATAAATTCTGAAGGCATCTGTCAAAAAATTTGTATGAAATCCCCGGAAAGGTCTTGCTGCTGATTTCCCATTCATTAAATTACCTCAAGGAATGCACGACGGAATTCGCCACCCGGAGCCATTCCCAACTGTTTAGTCAAATGTGCAGACATGTTCAGTAATAAAACATACAGAAGTCCATTGAATAAACCATTTTTCCTTATCGTTTCACGCATTTTAGCAACTGTGAGATTTCCTGCTTCTTCGAGAATTGTTTTCTCGTCCAGTTGGAGAACATGAACGCGTGCTTCACAAAGCTCTACCATTACTATGTGTGGTTGAACTGCTTGAATTATCTGGAAGAAAATCATATTGAAGAATCAGAGATAGAGTGCGACTAGTGAAGCATCATGGATCGAACAAATAACTTTCAAACTTATTTCTTGTTTTAATTTCATCACAAAAAAATCGCACATTCTAGAAGTTTCATCCAAATAACTAAGAAACGGCTGAGAAGATTTTAATCGAAATTCAATCTGACTTGAGCTACATCGAAATTCATCGGTTGTAAAAACAAGGCGGTAATCGTTTGCAGCTTTCTATAGTATCGCAATTTTTGCTATTAAGGATATCCAACTATCTTTTACAGTTTGATACAAACAACATTATAAATTCAACTATTTTCAATCATCTCAACTTGTCAATTAAATTGCGTGGAAAAAAAGATGAAAAAAATCATGAATATTCAGCGTCATTCAAATTACATTTTTCATAGAATTATTTTTTTTCAACATAATTGAAGTTGTTTAAACTTTCGGAAATCATTTTTTTAAGCATGAAATTGATTTCTGGTAAGATTCTGAATATGAATAAATTAATTACGATTCCGAACAATTGATTTTTATGGTGGAAAATTAATTGTCGTAAATTATTTATAGAAAATACTCGCAATTTTGAAAAGTTGAAACTTTTAAATTATTTGATCAATCTTTCTCCATAAGTAAAATTTATAATTTTTGTTCAGATTTTTAAAATGTTTTCACTTTGGAGGAAGATTGATGAAGTAATTTAAAAAGTACAAATTTTGAAAATTATGAGCATTTTCTATAAATCATTTCAAACAATCAATTTTCTACCATAATAATCATTTACTTTTTTTCATTTATTAAATGTCGATCAATAAAAAAAAAGTATTGATCACGTGATTACACACGAGTAATATTATTGAAAGGTGAAATAATCAGTATAATTTTCATTTTCTTTATGGACTATTCAAAGCAAATGTAAATCGTCCAAAAACCAAGCCCCGTCCAGAAATTGACCTGTTTACCCTACTATGTCAAGAAGAAAACAATAGAAAATAGTAAAATGAATAATTCTGTATGATCATTACCAAGGACACATCGTTTTGACTTTCTTCACTGAAATGTGCAGTTCCAACCAGATAAACTTTGCCGCCATCAGGAGTAGTAAGTAATGTCACAGTTTCTGGTAATCTGTCATCTATCGTTGGATCATACTGTTTCTCTGCAGGCGGTCCGACCACTGAGCTTTCACTTATATTACTTTCATCTGGATCACTTTCGACTCCAGAAGTAAAGCTCTCTAAAACCAGATAAAAATAATTTGACTCGAAAATCCACACTATCGAATCCACAAGATCAAAACAATGAAATCATGAAGACGATCGAAATGCATCAACCTTTGGCTTTCGCAACTTTTTTTCGATTTCTCACACATGCAGGCATTTTTGATAAATTTTCGAACGACTTGAAAAAACTGGTCGTGTGATTTAATGTCACTGAGATAGTAATGACTCTTTATTGAATTAAAAAGCTGGTATGGTTGCTCGGAAATCGTAGGAGTGACTCTACCTGGAATATCAGTCGACAGGGGAGGAAGCTCAATTGTGTGTCAGACATACATCTCTATTCCACGTGCTAAGTTTTGAAACCGTTGGACGAGTCTTTAGCTTAATTGTAGAAGCGTGTGAGGTAAAATGGAAACGTTTACTATGTTTTTGAATATTGATAATCAGAAATAAATTCATTAATTAAGGAAGCTAGACTCACACCAAAGAGAAAGAAGTCTGTTTTCATAAAAGAGAAATTATAACATTTAAGGACCGGGTGGATTATCTTTCGAACGTGATCTTGGTTATTTTTTTTTATTTTGATCATGTGAAATGATCTCCATTTGATATTCAGTTTTACATAGTCCTGGAGTCTCCAAAAATTATGATTGTACAATCGAAAAAACATCGAAAAAAGGCTGAACATTTTCAAAGAGCGTCTTTGAATATCATTGGGAAATAAAGCCAATAGGGAGGAAATTGCAAATTAATAATTTGATTTATCTAATGGCTGTTAGGTCGTCATTTGTCACAGTAGTCAACGGCTGTCACATCTTTAGTTACCATGATAAATTATCTATTCACTATTTCCTCTCTATCGGACTTAGTTCTTAATCTTTATTAATAACGCTCTTTGAAAATGTTCTGTTTTTTTCTACTTTGTTTGATACAATCATAATTTGTAGGGACTCCTGCGTGATGTAAAATCCCATGAAAATTGTGATATATTTTAGATTATGAAGATGGAAAAACAATCGAGATAACCTTCGAAAGATAATCCCCCCGGGCCTTAAATAAGATTTCCTTTCACCTAACTTTGTCAGATTTTCAAATTAGTTGAATGTTATCAGCATCATTATTATTATTATCGATTTTCTTCTATACAACCGATTGTGTATTTTTCCAGTTCTACAAGATAAAATGTTACAGATAAAATATTAATAGAAAAATGTCATTTATACATAATTGAATGGATTTGAAACATCACACTTGAAGAAACCATCAAAGAGCTCACTTTCAGGGAAATTAATGAAAAATTCAAAATTTTCAACAATCATCATAAAAATAAAAATAACGATTGTTGCTATCGCCTTCATCTTCGAACTCGGTCAAAGGCACATCCCAACAAACTTTTTTAAGCCATCATTCTATCAATTCAGAACATTTTTTTAGTTATCGTGGGACAACCGATTTTCGAAAAACTTCAAAACTTAAGAAAAAACCAATCGATGAATTAAATTTTAATTAATTGCGATCGATAGGGCTCAACAATCCCTACATTAAAAAAAAAGATTCAATTCTATCGATTCATTAGTTAATAATTGAAGAAAAACGTTACCACATACACATACGTAGGGGAGGCTGGGGTAAAGTGGTCACTTTAGACTTTTTTTTAAATTACTCATAACTCAGAAACAAATTTATCAATTGAACTCAGTTAGGCTCATCAAAAAGGGCAAAAATTGTTCTTTGCATTGAAAAAAAATTACTAAATTTCATCAACATTTCAAACCGTCATTAACATCTTATATAAAAAGGAGATATTACACGTTTATTCCTAAATGTCTGAAAGAGAAATCGCATACATGATGATGATGATACTGATTTTGGTAATAATGTTGATGTTACTGATGGTGCTGATAATGTTGGTGTTGGTGATTTCCAACGAAGTATATATTGATTCTCAATTGAAGTTTTCATGGATTTCGGCGAATTTTTCAAGGACTTTTAGTAGAAATTTCAATAGAATTCGATGGAAAATCCTTCGCTTTGTAATGTAGGTTTCATAGCTTTCGCCGTATCTCCTATGGATTTTCGACGGAAATTTCCATCCCCTTGCAGTCAAAAAATCATGAATTTTCAATAGAAGTTTTCATCGCTTGCCACGAAGTTCTCCTTAATAATACTTTAGGAATTCGTATACAAGAAAAAACATATTGATTCCAATCAACTTAAATAATAACACGATGAATCACATAAAATCTATCAAATTGTCAAATGCGCGGAGCGCGCCTTCGATCTCATTTTTAAAAAGTCAAATGTCCGTTTACCCCAATCTCCCCTACACACATACGTACAGACACGGTCTAAAAATTGCATTTTCGTCCTTTGTGGATCATAATAGGTCGACATAACACAAAAAATCCAAAACTTAAATTTGAACGCTTACAATGTTTCCATTCGGAAGCAAACACTACTCACGTGTAAAATCATACCCCTCCATGCTAGAATCCAGAGGTGAGTCCAATAATTTCTTACCCTGATGCCCCCCATCCTTCTCACTGTACCGAATCTGGCTGTCACCCTGAGGTCCAGCTGCGGTCTCTGCTAATGACAGATGCAGTTGCTTCACACCTTGGCCCTCGATCAGACTCTTCTTGTCATCCTGCTCCATTATCTCAACCCCTCAACGAAAACCTAAAAAAACAAACAAAATGCTCTGTAAAAACAACGTACGTTGTGTGCTTATCAACATAATGAATGGAATGAATGATTAACGAGCATGAAGGATGAATAAATTTATCCTCAATATGTTGAGTTGACTTACAGAGTTCCTAACCAAAACGTCCACTGAGGTAGCTCGTAAATAATAAAGAATCGTTACAGGTGATAAGGAGAACAAAGAGTCGAGGGAAAGAGATAAAAAAAATTAATTGTTCCAATATGGGACATAAAAGTAGGTGAAATGACAAATTTATACGGGCATTTCTGTACACGATGGAAGTACATATCAACTGACCTACTGAAGACGTTCAGCTCTTCATTGAACCCCCAAAGATGGCGCTGAGGTGCACTTCTACCGGTTTGTTTACGTTTTAACGGTGTCAAGCCGTTAGAAAAGTGTTTCCTGACATTTTAGTCGTGAAAATGTTGTCCAAAGCCTCGAGAAAGACTTCTGAAGCCTCAATCACTGTCGAAAAGTATCACTTTTGGGTTTTGGAGGGATGAGAGAGGATAATTGATTTTGAAGAATGACGGGAACTGACATTGAAGGGATGGACAAGACTGGGTGAGTAGTCATCGGGTATTGATCGATAATAAATAGCTTGGAGACTCGGAGAATGCTTGAAAAATAATTATTTATGGAATTATTACATATTTCAATGTTCCTAGTGTCGACGAGCGAAATTCCATCATTCAGGAGTACGAGGCCATTGTGGAGAGTCTTCAGGCGGACTTGAAGAACTGCAAGGTGAGGTTTCAAGCTTTCAAGTAGATCTGTGGATAAGAAAGATCGATAATTAATGATAATGCTAGACTTGACTTCAAGAAAGAAACAAGTCTTTTCTAGTGGAATATAGCAGGACAGAAGAACTTTTTATAATGAAGCTGAAAATAGCAGAATATTCGTCAGCGGAAAATTCAATTTAGGGGATATTTAAGGGTAGGAGAGTCAAATAATGAAATGTACAAATGTTTTTTAAGTGCGGAAGAGTTTGACATATTACTTAAAAACATTTGTACACCCTTAGATTCGCCTACGACAAATCTTCTGCTGTCGAATCTTTCGCTAGATTCAGCTTCATGTTTTTATAGCCCACGAAATTTCGGTAAAACTAAAAATTCGTGACTTTAATTTTTGGGTGACCTAGATCCTAGGTAGCTAATATGAATTTAGATTTCTTTGAGACACCTCATGTAATAATTATGGGTGCTCAGATAGCTGTACGGGACCTCCCTACCAGCTTTTACCTTCAAGAGGTATATAACTTTTTTAAATTGTGAATTCGAATTTCATTTAAATTCAAGAACGCATGATATGGCAATTTAATAACAAGCCATACCAGCGTTTAACGTTATCCAGGGTGCGCGACGTGGACGCAGCTGGTATGTGCACCCCAAAAAGCCAAAATAATAAAATTAAATTGAGTAAGTCACATTCATTTAGTTCCACCAAATTTCCCACGGCGAAGGTCAGTTGACATTTTTTCTTCGTGGTGTTTAGGAAAAAATTGTTATATAGTTTATATCGAGTAATATTAAAAAAATTAATCAATAAAAGTTAAAATTTAAAGGCCATAGACCTTTCAAGATTTTGTTAAAAAAGCCTTCTAATCTAGAAAATCTTAAAAATCGCGAAGAATCAAAGATCTGTTGACGTTTTTTTAGAAAATTTTTTGGGTTATAAAAAAAGGCCGTTTCTCGTATTCTATCAAAATTATATAGATTATCTTTCTATCATCTCTGAAACTCTCTCTGAAACTACTACTTAGCCTTGGAGAACCACGTTAAAAGTCTTTTCTTTTAACCACCAGAATTTTCAGCAAAAAATTTCTATTAATATTTTTTTTAATTAACATCCTCCGAAATGAATGAATGATAGACAAATATTTCAATATTCTGCGAGCATTTAAAAAAAAAAATTCAAGAACTATTCTTGTACTTCCCACTTATTAGATTCAGAACAGGGATCGGTAAATTTCGCTACTGTAGTAATATTAAGAAAAATATACGTTAAATTGATTAAATTTTAATAATTTTTACGAAAAAATCAACTAACGAAACTATGTTATCATCTGAGCAGATAATATAGTTTCATACTGGACAGAAAAATCTCCATAAGAGCGCATGTATAAGAAGCGACTTCAGTCATTAACAACTTGAAAAGGAAATCTGAAAAAATTCTAGGAAAATTCATAGATAATTCAATTGTGATTATCAACATTCGATATAAATTCCAGATGAATGACATTTATCTTTCTTGCACGAAGCACCTTAAGTTATTTAAAATTGTTTCCGGAAATCCATCAGGACTAACTTTTGGGTCCGATTCTCTTGGACTATACCTTACGGGGAAACAGAACCCCTGTGTCTATATGAATTTTTAGAATTGCGTTTTGTTCTACAATTATTACTTTATATCTATAAAATCGGTTTGTCGACTCGCTCAATGCATTGTTGAGTCAATGAAGTAGTTTCATGAATAAAAAATAATAATTGAAGAAGAAAACACAATTCTAAAAGTTCATATACACACAGGGGTTCCGTTCCACCTTAAATGAAACAATGTCTATCTTGGAAGTTTTTAACTTGCGACTTTTGTGGTTCAATCAAGACTTGGCTGAAAACATGTTTTTTTTCTAGGTAGCTTCGCCAAAGTTCAATGAACAATTATCTTTTATACACAGGCTGTCATAAGATTCATTTTCCAATTGGTGATTCAGCGACTAGAGCATCCAAAAAAAAAACTAGAAATAAAACTCAATTTCTCAACAGTTCATCCGAGTTGACGGCATAAAATTGTTGTAAAAATTCCAAACAGAAAATTCTCCATCATTGACCATTGATCTTTTATGCTCGCGATTCACCAGAAACATCTTCCTCTTTCAGGAAGAACAAATTCGTCTCCGAGGAGAAGTCGAATCCCTCCAAAAGGAGAACCGAACCGCCGCAGAAGTAGCTCGAACCTCGTTCTCCCACTTCAACAACGCCGAGTGTCCCAGGAACCTCGACGACAAAGAATGTGTCGACAATCTAAAAAAACAAATAGCACTGATACAGCTGGAGCGGGACTCCATGTTCCAACTCTGGCAGATGGCCTTGAAGACAGTGGAGACCCTCGAGAATGAGATAAAAACCTCTCACAACGACGTGACGGCCCACAGATACTACGAGGAGCAGGTGAACCACGTCAAGGAGACCTACTCAGAGGCCATCAAAGCTCTAGAATCAAAACTAATCCAAGCAAAAGAGAACTTCGTCAAGCATCAAACGTTGTGGGAGTCCTGCAGGGAACGAGTTGAATTCCTCAACCAGGAAAAATCAGAACTCGAGAGAAAAATCCAGAACCTTCAGAACGACCTTTTGATGAAGGAAGAGACCCACAAGAAAATTCTGGAGCACCTGAACTCAAATTTAGAAGAAGCAAAGAGAGAATTGGAGGTCAACAAAAACTCCCAACAGAAATTAGAGACTGAATTAGTTGAGACTCGATGTCTAGCCACAAGGATGGCGACTAAGGATCAGGAATCAAAAGCTAAAGTTGCTGAAGCGATTGTTCTGGTGGAAACAGCTATGAGGGAAAAAGAGATGATAATGCAGAGAGAAGCAGCTGTTTTGGAGGAGAAGTCGAAACTAGAATCTCATTTGACGAATATTGCAGAAGAGTTTGCCATGAAACTCGAGAGGGAATTGTCAGAGTGCAAAGAGACTTTTGAGATGAATTGTAAAAAGTACTCGTTGGAGATTAAGGAGTTGAAGTCAGAGTTGAGGGAGAAGGTGACTCTTCTCGATCGAGCCCAGAGGGAAATTCAGATGCTGGAGGAGGAGATGGAGAAGAGAAAGCATGGGAGTGAGGACTTCCTGCATCGATCGTCCTCCAAAGTTCTTGAACTGGAGCAAAAACTGAAGGATTCGGAGGAGAAATTGATGATCTGTGAGGAGACGAATAGAAGAAAGTTTGAGGAGAAGATCAGAATGTCTGAGAGTCGAATTCTTGAGCTCGAAGAGAAGTTATCGAATGTCAATGTCAGGCTGAGGAATAGTCAGTTGTTTGGGAGTAGGGAGATGGAGGAGAAGATCAGGGAGGCTGATGAGAGGGTGAAAGAAGCTATGGAGCGGTACTCTGGGGTTGAGAAGAGACTGACGAGGGCTTTGGATGAGAGGGAGAATGTCGCTAGTGAGCTGAGGTCCCTGCAGATTACTTTTGACAGGGAGATCTCGAGGAGGGAGAACGAGAGGAGATTGCTGGAGGGGAGAATCAGAGAGTTGCAGGAAGATGTGAGGAATGCTAATGATGTAGCTGACAAGGCTGAGTTGAGGGCTAGTCAGTTGAATTTACAGGTGGAGAATTTGCAGAGAGAGTTGGAGGGACGAAAGAGTCAAATAATGTGAGTAGATTCTTTATTCAATTCTTAAAAAGCACGAGCCGGGGTTCGAGCCTATCCGACAGAAGGCATGTGGCCGTTACTTTTTGTGTTCTTAGTCTCTTTCTTTTTTTATTTCTACCAATTCAGTAGCGAAGCGGTAAAACGGGTTAAGTCGATTTTGACTATTGGCCAGTTTTTGACGAATATCACGGAATCTAAAAGTGATAGCAAAATTTTTGTCATGACCTTTTTGTAGAGCCAATCGAGGGTTATGAAAAAGGTCATGAGACAAATTTGTCTATCTCTCTTAGATTCCGAGATATTCATCAAAAACTGGCTAAAAACCAAAATCGACCCGGTTTACCGCTTCGCTACTGAATTTCATTGGTGGTAAGCTTCCGAATAGATTCATAGCAATTCCCTAGTCTTGTGACAGACATACAATTGTAACCACATGCTACCGGGTGTCTACAGGAAAATATTCAACCCTTCAATGCAAATTATTTATACAAAAGGTTAAATATCTCCGAAACTACTCGGCTGGTTGCGCCTATCCACAATACCAACCTTCAGGATTGTAAGAGCTATAATCATACGAAATTTCAACTTGCCATCCCCATTTTTTTCAAGTTGTCGTGCGTACAAAAATGAAAAAAAATTTAAAACGAAAAAACGAGTGGTAAATATCACCACTCTTCAATACAGTGCATTAAAGTATCTATATATTCTGATTGAACTATATACAGGCTATCGAGACGAGTATTTTGAAAAAAAAATTGAAATGGGTGCTGTAGTTTCGGAGATATTTAGGAAAAACTAACTTTAAATAAATTGTTATATCTCAGGAACTACTGGACCTATCGGGCTGAAACAGCGCGCCAAAGTTGAGCTCAATAATAGCTACAATGAGCCAAAATTTCAGACTTTTATCGACAAATTTCACCGTATTTATGCTGAATTTTCTAAAAAATTAATCGCCAAAAACCCAAGATGTCGGATACATCCAGATATGACCCTAAAAACATAATTTCTTCACGTTTCATAACATTCTAAACCATTTGCAATCAAAATTAGAAAATCTAAAGATCGGTCCAAAACAAGGTTTCCATTCGGAAGGAAAAATCGACTATCGACTTGATTTTGGAAAATTTTAAAGATGGAAATCATTTTGTGAATAGAATACGAAAATAGTCATTCTGAGAATTTTTCTAAACCTCTTCTTTTCAAAGAATTCTGGAAGATAATCTATAAATCTGTTTGTTCTGGTGTTAATTTCTGTTCTGGACTCTTTGTTTAGTGATTGGGATTTATTTCAGTGACAAAAATGAAGATATTGAGGTAGTTATTAAAGATAAATCATCGAATTTAAGTATTCTCCGAGAGAAATATGAAGAGAGAATTGCAGAATTGACGAAGCATGTGAAAATTCATCAAAAATTATCAAACAAGTAAATAAACACTTTAATATTTTGGAATAATTAAGAAATAATTGCACAATCGATTAAAATGATTTAAAATTAATGTCCAGGTGGAAGGAAGAGGCTCAGTCCCTGGCAAATAAATTCCAGGTTCGATTCAAAGAGCTCAAATCCAAGGTCCACTCGTTACAGAAGGAGAACGAGCAATTAAACAATGAATTACTCATGTGTCGTCAACAGGTGGCTCACTGCAGAGCTCAAGTGATGCAGAGGTACTTCAAAACCTATCAAACTCACCAACAATGTCGCCCTCGAAAATGAAACTCATTTTATTCATTTTATTTCAGCTTCGATGATGATTTCAGATGACGACGTCGAGTTAGGATTATCACAATTAATAGCACAGTGTGCAGCGTACCTGTAAATACAAAACAAATCATAATTACACCAAACAACAAATCGAATAAACGAATAAAGCAATTGAACTTCCGTTTACTAGCTCAGCCGAATAAATCGAAATATGACGCCATCCTTAACACTTCGGTGCTCACGTGGGGTAGATCACACCCCAGGTATTTTTTCATTTTTTTATTGCTTCATTAATTAGAATGAAAATTACTGGATAAATATTATTCTTCAAACCATCCAATGCCACCTTTTTCATTGTTCTAGGTTTAACTCAGACATCGGCCCAATCGTAAATTTTAAATAAAGTTAAATTTCGAATAAGTCAGTTGTTAATATTACTCAACAATTTTTTAATTATCAAATCAATCATCAATTAGATATTCAAATTTCGAATTATTTTATCAATCAATCACGGAGTTCGGAAGATTGATGATTATTTGACTAAGAAGTATTTACTCAACAGCCAGTTAACAATTTCATATTGTCAATTATTTTATTATTTTTCCAATTTCAATGAAGATAAGCAAACCTTAATTATTGTAGGGTGCAACTGCTCATAATATTATTAAACTGTGTCATCAAGCACTATTTAAGTGACAAATAATTCAGTAGCGAAGTGGTAAAAGGGTTTAAGTCGAGTTATCTCCCAGTTGAGTTTTTAAGGAATATTTCCGGAATCTAAGGCAGATGAGGAAATTTTCATAATTACATTTTTTGTAGCACTCAATCGGCTCCACAAAAAAGGTTATAAGAAAAATTTTGCTATCTCCCTTAGATTCCGAGTTATTGACTGAAAATTGGTCAATAGTCAAAATTGACTTATACCGTTTTACCACTTCGCTATTGAATTAATTATACAATTGTCTTGAAAAAAATGAAATCAGACATCTTTTTCATAGGAAATTTTATGTAATATGAAATAATATCCCTTGAGAAAGTTCTCTGCAGCAATTGGTTTCTAAAATATTCACAGAATACTGGATCCATAAAACCGGTGACAGTGGCCGAAGTGGTTAAATCGCTCGGCCGGAAATATATAAAATTAAATTTTGTAACAAAAAAAAATCGCTAGGCCGGACGGCGGGACCCGTGAGGCGCGGGTTCGAGTCCAGCTTGGGGCAATTGGGATTTTTAATCTGTCAGAAACCATCGAAAGGAAGTCTAGACACCGAGAATCATCAGAGAAGTGTTAGGAAAACATTCTCCGATGGAGCTCGGTCGATGGACGCCCGTGTCGACCAAGGTTTTCCATGGTTTCCCTGGTTCAACAGGAGAGTCTGTACGTGGGGTACATCTCTTGGGGTACAATGCGACATGGTGGGAAAGGAAGTCGGCCCATGAAACCGCAAATATGTAAAAACTCGAATAGGATATATATGGCAAGGAAAAATAATAATACTGGATCCATAACTAACGATTTTACGTTAAAATGGAGAAAAACTTAATTTTGAAATTGAAGGCATTTCCAATAGTAAATGCTTTCAGAAAAAAATCACAAAAATGTGTTTTGAAAGGAAAACGTTAAAAAGAGCCAAACAAGAGTCCTTTTTTTAAAGACCCACTACAAAAACTACAAAAAAAACAATCTTGATATTCTGAAAACCTATATTTCCAAGATGAATAATAATCTTCCAGAGGATTGCGCTCACATTCATCTCATAATTTCTTAACCCTTCCTTACGCCGTTTTTGTAGGTTCCTTCCAAAATAGTTTTCCAAACAGAGAATACAATTTGAAAAAAAAAAAAGAACAAAAACACAACTGAATAAGTAAAGCTTCAAAGAACAATATTTCTCTAACAAATTTTCTTCCGATTAATCAGAAAAAGGTAAAGAAAAAACACCTTTGGGTGGGGATTGGGTGTAGACTGGTCAATTACCAAGTCCTCCAGATAATAAGGTGTCTTCGCAACCGTCGAAATGATTTTATAATTAACAAAATGGAATGCTACACATGCAAGATGACTTATGAAATTGTATAATTCTATTAAAAAATTAATCTCCCTAACATACCAAGAATAATAGAGCTGTTAGGATGAAGAGTCCACACAGGCAGTGAACAAGCTGGGGAACCAGTAGAGATTCCCCTCCTCCCCCTGTTCGTCCAGCCAGGCTAGTCCCATCTTCATCATGTGATCAAGAGCCTTCTGAGCCCTATCCCGTTCCCACTTCAATTCTCCTTCCAGAAGCCCCACAGAGGTATAAGCATTCCCCGAGACACTAGCCTGCTGCAGGACAGCAGTGTGATCCATACTCAACTCCCCAGGAATTGACTGCACAAGATACTTTCCCCTTCCAATTGGAACAATCGAAAACCCATTCCCAAAGATCCTGAGTTTTTTCGCAGCTGCGAGTAAATCCTCGTTCGTGATGTCTTGATGCTCCTTCCTCCTACCTCTGGCCTGGACCAAACGTTCCCTCAACTCATCCAGGGTGATCAGTCCCCCGTTCTTGTAATTGGTCGCCATGCAGACCTCGACTATCTGCACCGCGAGCTCGTAATAAAAATCACCGATGCCTAACACAGACCAGAAACCCTTTCCTGAGGCTAATGGATCAACTCCTATGGAGGCACACATCTCGGTGAACTGACGACGAAACTGCGCGTTCTTTTTTATCTCGTTCTTGTGCTTGGTTGCAAAATCTTCGAGGTTCGTTCGAAATATCTCCATCTGCTTCGTCATCTGCTCGAGTTGACTCTCTTGGATCTCTGTTCCCTTGTCTTTGTACTTCTCTTGCTCGAGCTTTTGCTTGTGGATTGCTCCTATTCCTGGTTTTCTTCTCATGATGAAGCTGGAAATAGAACTAGTGCTGTTGGGGAATTGCTGAATGAATGACGGAACATTTTGAGATGTTCTAGAGAAAACCATCTCAAAATAAATTTTAGGGGGAGCTAATCTTTAGAGATGTGTGCTAAATTGACAACTTGACTTGAAATATATATCGACATGGGTCGAGTAGGAAATTGATACCTTTCCCTGAGAGGAAAACAGCAAAGTTCTCAGACAAGTCTTACTGGTGCCAAAAAAACTCTTTGTTAAAAATGATCAAAAAAGGATTTTGTTGTGCTAAACATTTGAAGCGTGCGTCGAGATTGAAAATTTGTATTGCAAAAATAGATTTAGTCCTTTCAAAAAAATTGTATTCTCTGTACAAAATGCACGTCTTATATGAAACGAGGCATTGTAATTTGTCGTTTCGGCTATTCAACAATCATAGACAAAAATGAATTCTTGAATGAAATAATAATAGTGATATGACAGCAATCTTACAACTTAGGAACAAAATATTTCTTGATAAACTTCCCTCTATAAAAGATATTTTTATCTTCAAAAGGCACCATCTTGTATGAATGATCTAGTCTTGAGCCAAATATTTCGTTGTTGTTAAAAGCAGAGCAATTTTTCATATTAACGATTTGTTGGCCCAAACAAGACTTGTTTGAGAAATTGTTCGTTTTGCCCTCAGTGTACGTCTTAAATTGACAACTTGACTTGAAATATGTATCGACATGGTTGGAGTGGGAAACTGATACCTTTGAAATTTCGATCTATGTTGAATGTGAGTTTGAGTTCTGAGTGTGTGCTTCACCTGCTGAAGTAATTTCTCATACTCATAGCCTCCAAATCCAAATTTCATTGAGGAATATTTAATAGGGAAGAGTGGGGCAATATATTTTCGACTTCTTTAAAGTAAAGTACAATTTTCCCTCTTCGTGATGAGTCTAGACTGAGCTTAATTGATAAGTTCATTTCTGAGTTATGAACATTTACAAAAGAATCAAAAATGTCCATTTTACCCCACCCTTCCTCTATCCAGTATCCAGTATTTTTAAAAAATTCATACAAAATCCATCGGAATTGGTGGATTGGTGGATTTTCTTTTGTTTGCAAAACAAAATCCACCAATCTAGTCAAGAGTTTTCTGAGTTTTGTCTGAAATTGACCACAATACATTGACAAATTACAAGTTTAACATATAATTGGGATGGTACATTACAATTTAGTAGAATTCAATGCGTATTGTATAATGAGAATATGGGTATTACAATTTATATACACAAGATCTTAATGCAAAGCAGTACGTGTCAGAACGGGGAAGGGACTTCATTGTGTGTAGTCGATCATTTTGTTAAAAAACCACAGTGTCAATGTGAAAGTATGCCCACAAATCTTATTAGATATTTATTATTATTTTTTCTTTTCTTTTTTTTTCATATTAAAGTATATCCCTAGAAAATACATTTTTCTTAAGATTGTAATAGTCCCCAACTATTGAAAAAAATTCTAACTAGCTGTACTAAACAGTTTAAGTGATAATAAATAATAAAATGCGGGCTTCTAACACGCGAGGCATGGGCCAAACGGGGGTTATCGACCCCCCGAGCTCGATTTTTCCATCTTATGAGAAAACAGTTCTTAGGGGCGAGTGGGGTAAAATGGACACTTTAGACTTTTCTTTTAATTACTTATAACTCAGAAATAAATTTATCAATTGAGCTCAGTTCAGGCTCATCACAAAGGAAAAGAATTGTTCTTTGCAATGAAAAAAAAATTATGATATTTTGTCAACATTGCAAGCCGTCATTAACATTTAAAAAAATGTCAAAAGTGTCCATTTTACCCCAACCTCCCCTACAATATTTTTAATTTTTTAGTACATAGTTTCAACTCTAAAAACTAGAAATTTCATGAAAGCATTTCTTATTTGATTCAAACAAATGATCAATAAATCTGTAGCGAAGTGGTAAACTAGGATAAGTGCAAAAATGGAACTTTTTAAGGAGAGTTCAAAAATTTAGCACGTTTGAGAGAACATTCGATTCAAGCAATAGAAAATTTTTAAAAAAATTGAACTTATCCTAGTTTACCACTTCACTACGGAAATAATTTTTTATTTGATTCAAACAGTTATTGTTGCCTGCATCAACAACATATGAGAATAGAAAAACTCAATAACTTATTAGAATATAATAAATTGAAGGACGTTTAGCCAGTGTCGGTGTTTTTTTTTCATGGTCAAGGAAAATTCCGTAATTTTTTCGGCTGACAGCAGAATATATAAAACTAAGTTTTCTAATGTTAAAAAAAAATTAATCGTAATAGTCTCGGCAGAAATGAATAAATTAATTTTTTTCTTATCCACGGGCTCTTATGAAATTTATGTTCAAATTGATAATTCACCTACTAGAAGACTCTAAAAATGGAAATAAAAATAGAAGGTAATGTGTAAAACTATACTGAATCCAATGGCCAGAGAAAAATCTGGGGTACCCGAGCAAAAAGAGGAAATATTTGAATCATTCTATCTCATATAAGCGTATGTTAGCGCATGTATTTGGTCCATTTTGTCTATTTCATTTTTAAATAATGAACATGAGTTAGTGGATTGGAATTTGTACCAAAATGAAGGGAATATCTTCATCTCTCAGTTAAAAAGAAATCCATTTTTTTAAATTACTTGCGATATTGGATCAACATCCTTAAGTCATTTAGAATTCTCTCCGGAAATCCATAGGGATTAGCTTTCAGGTGTTATTGTCTTGGGATAAACCTCAACTTACTACAGCCAATAATGAATTCCAACTATGAAGCCATTTACACTGGGAGGTCAAGTCGCGTCAAGTACGGTTAAATTTATGTCTTCACCGGTCCAAGTCTCGATGGAAACGCAAAGTTGAACTGAACTCCGCATTTTCACCGAGACTTGGGCCGGAGTGGACATAAACTTAGCCGTACTTGGCGTAACTTGAAGTCCCGGTGTAAATAGCCCCTTTGAAAATGTCCACCTTAAATAATAAGAGGAGCAATTCGAAGGAAAAATCAATCATGATGCGGTTATTCAGAATCTTAACTTACCTGAGGGGTTAAAATCCGAACAAATTAAAATAAAAATCAATGTCAAAATAGACAATCAGCTGGTCGTATCCTCCAAAACTTCAGTCACGAATGCACACACAAATAAATAAAACTACACTCCGGCACTTCCGGCTAGCCACGAACATCCCCGAGATATAACGACTATCAAAAGAGTTAATCGTCACTCCGCAAGATGGCAACAATCGACTCTTCTATGACTTCTCTCCGCGCTTTCAAACGCATTTGGCGCACATAAACGTCGCAATAATTCGTTGTTGGATTTTATGTAGTTACGCAGTGCAAGCCCACGTTTAGCCCTGAAAAACTGCTTCAAAAAATTAAAAACTCGAGGTAAAAGTGACTAATTGTTCCAAAATGTCGAACTTTGGCTTTGGAACACCTACAACGACAGCCAACACGAGTTTCGGTGGATTCGGGACCCCAAAGTGAGTATTTGAGGTTATAAAATGCCCAAAAATCTGTTCGTCAACCCACAAATCATTTTTAAATGTTATTTAACCTTCTAAAGAGCTACAACTGGCTTTGGACTCACTGGAACGGGATTCGGGACGCCTGCGCCAGCTGCCAGTGGCAGTTTAACCTTCGGAACTCCGACAGCCACCCCTGCAACAAGTGCACCAGCCCCCAATTTCAATTTTGGAGCGACAGCAACTGCAACCCCTCAGAGTCAAGCTGGGGGGTTGTTGACGAATCCAGCGACTACAGCTGCACCTTCCAGTTTATTTGGAACCCCTGCAACTACTTCTGCTGCGCCCCTCACTGGTTTGGGATTTGGAACACTCACGAGCTCTGCTAACACTGGATTTGGAGCCACTCCTAGTGCCACAGTCACGGGCTTTGGAGCAACTCCTAGTGCAACGGCCACAGGGTTCGGGGCAACTCCCAGTGCCACTGCTACTGGAGGACTCAGCTTTAGGGCTCCAACGACGTCAACATGTGAGTTCTTCGGAAAATTTTTCGTCATTAGGGGAGGGTGCGCCAGGAAAAAGATTTTTCAGAAGTAAATGAATAGCGTAATTCAGGAATGAGGGATTTCTGGGGAAATGAAAACACTGATCCAATTAATCAGAGATGCGATGTTTCGCTAAATATTTATTTAGTTTAGTTTCATCAGGCTAAAATATATTTAGCGACACGTCGCATGCTTGACCATTATAGATCATAGTCTTTTTATTTCCCCAAAAATCCCTGATTCCTGGATTAATTTGCATCGCTTGGAGATGAATATACGTTTATTAAATAAATAGCATTTTAAACAAATGAATAGGTCTATTTAAGGTATATCTCAAGACAATATCACCCAAAAGTTAGTCCCTATGGATTTGCAGAAAAAATTCTAAATGACTTAATTTATTGCATTCTCGTAAGTTATTCAGCTTTTCTATCCTCATATGTTGTTGATGAAAGTAATAATAACTGTTTGAATCAAATAAGAAATGATTTCACGAAATTTCAACTTTTTAGAGTTGAATATCACAGAAACTATGTACTATAAAATTTTACAAAAAATCCACCGTATTCTGAATTTATCAATCTATCACGGATTCGTTTTTTTAAGAACATCGTAAGAACCATTTTCTCATAAGATGAAAAAATCGAGTTTGGCCCATAATCGACCCATAATCCCCGTTTGGTCTGTGTTCTAGAAGACCCCATTTCATTTTTTATTATCTTCTAAATTGTAGTACAACTAATTCGATTTTTTTCAATAGCTGGAGAATATTATAAACATTATCGATGAAAAACATGGGGACAATCATAAGAAAAATCTGTTTTCTTGGAATATATCTTAAAGAGCTCGTAATAAACCTTTTTAGCCTAGACTGAACTCGATTGGTAAATTTGTTTCTCAGTTCAAAGATTGAAAAAAAAAGGCAAATTTGTCCATTTTACCCTACCCTCAACTACTTACATTTATCTACAATAAGGTAAATGTACCTATGCCCGTCTTTGTCCCTACGCTCGTTTAGATCCTGTCAGCTATGACATTTCAATCATTTTGATAGTCCCAAGAGTCTATTAAGAGTGAAGTACGATTGGAGTTATTATTTTAGTCAATAAGAAAAGTTCTAGACACCAATGCAGAGTGATTTATTGAATAATAAGAGAGAAAAATCACATTCACATCAACTCGTGCTGTGACAGAGTTAATTCTTAAGCCACAAGTTAAGAAACAATTTTAAAACGTTGATGACTCCGTTACAATAGTAAAATGGAATTAAAAATCCCTTGGCTAAGGTTTCGAATAGTTAAAAATTTAGTAAAGATGCATAAATTATAGTAATATCCGGATATTTCACTGGAATATTGCCAATTAAAAGAATGGGTACGATAAAAATGGCATTGATCCTACACTCGTTTTGCAGCCAACTGTGAGCTGGTAACGGACTAAACGGATGAAAAAATCATTTAAAAGGATTGTCCAATGGAAATATAATTTTGTGCATCGAGATATTTTTTAATGTTGTTTCATCACAAAATTGGATACTCACGATGTAATTAGTTCGGATGTATCCTTTCCATATAACTCAAATCACGAGACGAGGATAGGGACATGTGTCAAGCGAGCATGGGGCAAATGAACGAGCGTAGGGGCATGGGACTTTTCACATTCATGGACGATTATTTATTAAAAAATGGTAATTATCATAATTAATATAAATAAATTCCAATTCTGAAGGTTTTACCCTCTGGTATGTAATTTAAATCATCGATCTTCACGCTCATTTCGATAGAAATATTGGACTAATGATTTGTTCACTTTAGCTAGACGAGCGCAGGGTCATTTACCTTATATAATACAATCAATTGGAATGGAATTTAAATGTATTTTGTTACTGAAAATTCTGTCAATTCTCTGAAAATCATATGAAAGTTCAACTTTTTGGGTCAAATGACAATGAATTTTATTGAAATTACGAAAAATTCAAGTTCTCATCAGATTTTATAGGTGGTGATCATGGAGCACCTTCATTCTCTTGAGTTTCCAATATGAAGCAGATGCTTCCTGAATAATTTCATCTCAAATCCAACTCGAAGTTGCAATATTGAAAATTGGCATGGAACTAAAAATATACTGAATTTCAATGATTTCTCAATAGGATGGAATTAGAGTTTCATAGTTTCAAGTGTAATAGAGATATTGACAATTAATTCTTTTTGTTTTCCAGCTTTATTTGGCGCTGCACCTACAGGAGGCCTCTTCGGGGCTAAGCCTACAGCCACACTGGCTCCAGTCACAGCGACAACTAATGTAAATAAAGGTCTAGGGGGTTTGGATGTTTCTGTTAGTAACAAAGGACTTTCTCAGGGGAGTAGTAGTCTCACAGCGGCCAAGGAGAATCTCATACCCAATGAAATCACTCAGACCATTGATGCATTCAAGTAAATATTAAAAACTGATAATTGTCTTTATCTTCAAATCAGGATGTCGTTCTACCCTATCATTCAGCGATAACTTCAGCTATCATTCAGCTGATGATAATAGAATTTACTAAAATAAATTTGTGGAATATTTGAAGAGCATTACGAATTTTTACTAGGAGGACTTTTTTGTGGAGAATTTTATGGACTAAAAAAACTGTCCTTTAATATTTACCTCTACTTATTTATGACTTGAACCTTTTTTATGTCCTCGTAGCTCTTTCACTTGAGTTCATGATCAGTAAATTATATCTGCAACGAGCGACACTGGGAAGCAATTTTAGGCGCCATAAAACTACTCGTTTGGGAAATATTTGCAAACAAAAATATTCATTTTTACTTCTTTTTAATTGGGGGAGAGTGGGGAAAAATGAAACAGTAAAAAAAAACACTGTTTGGGAATGGAAAATTATTGAAAAGTTTTGATGGGCGAAGATTTTGTCAATGGATTATTCGATTGAAATTCAGCATCACATTTTCCTTTTTCCCCCTCGGGGTCTCCCACTGGGTCTTGTTTCTGGACTTGGTATTTTGCTGTTTCATTTTGTTTACAAGTAATCCATTGACAAAATCTTCGTCCGTCAAAACTTCTCAATAATTTTCCATTCTACTGAATGGAAAATTATTATTCTCATCAGTACTCCCAAGAATAAAAAAAAGTTAATACAAAAAAAAATTTGATAAAAAAAAATTGTTTTGCTTGAATTGGTCAAACAGTCGTTTTTTTGACTGCTTCATTTTGCCCCACTCTCCCCTATTAAATTATTTCTGTGACGGAAAAATAATCAAGACCGTTGAGAAATAGTATATTTCGATACAAGTGTGTAAAAGTGTTTTTCGCCGAAGGCGAGTGCTACCCTCCCACCGGTCAACGAACACTTTTCTCAGGAGTGTCGAACCCTATTTTTCATCACAATGTGTGGAAAGTGGGATTTTGCGTACGCGGAACGCTATAAAATTTTCCTTTACGCACAAGTGATGCAAAAAAATTTCACAAATTGCAGAGATACTTGTGAAATAAACTGAAAAAAAGTTCACTCGATGAAATAGTTCAATTGTATTTTATCAATTTATTTCCGCAGAGAATTTGTTAAAACCCAAAAAAGTCTGAGCTCGGACATAGCCAGAGGTTCGGCAAGACCATTGACCCGTTGCTCAGAAGACACAGCCTCCCTCATGGAGATGTTGACGACTCTAGCGGGATCTGTCCAACGAGATCGATCTTTAGTAGATAAATTAAAGTTGGACACTGCGAAAGCCCTCCAGAGCGCCGAAATCGCGCAGAGAACTCATGATACTCCCCCTGGGCTGCAGTATGAGAATAATGCGCCTTTGCTGTTCTTCATGGAGCTCGCCGAGACCTTTGAGCAGGACTTGATGCTCTTTAGATCGCAGATTGAGACCACTGAGAAGCTTATACAGACTATGCTGACTCCCAGGGCACTTACACCCCAAGGTTCCTTTTTTAATAATTTTATCAGTAGAAATACTCTGAGAGCTTCAAAACGATCAAGTATTTCCCGATAGTTTCATTGCAAACAAATAAGTCTGCCAAGTTGCTTATTTGTTTGCAGGGAGGCTTGAGGAAAATACATTGAGAAAAAAACTTTTCCGTACTGCTCTTCACTTTTCCTCGTCCGAGGATTGGTATTCGCCCTTCCCCGAACTCGAAAAATATTCCATGTGACTGAAAAATGGCCCATGGCACTCGTCCTGAAATATGCAGTAGAGGCTTCGTATACGATACCTCTCTATAAGATACCTCGTGCTCCGAGCGCTCGAGACCTATCCTCACTCGGTACTTTCATCGCCTCCCAAATGTTTATGTTCCGTGGGCTTATAAGATGCCTATGGCCCCGCTCATTTTTCAACGGGAAGAAAGTAGTTATAAGGATCAAACTGTGTTAAGGGTCGAACGGGAGGGACGAACGAAGTGATCGTGAGGGTCTAATGACTTTAAGGGGGGGGGGGGG